AAAGTTTAAAGTACCACTTTAAACTTTAACTTTTAAAGTTTAAAGTAGTACTTTAAACTTTAAACGTTAAAGTTTAAAGTAGTACTTTTAACTTTAAACTTTAACTTTTAAAGTTTAAAGTGCCACTTTAACTTTAACCACTTTAACATTTAAAGTTTAAAGTTAAAGTGCCACCCCTAGTTCTGATATGTTTTATATGTGATAACCACCACAAATAGAACGATATTCACGACGTTTATTAAAAGAATTTATTTCTTGAATATGATCAAGAGATTTTGATTATAATGAAGATATTGATCGTTTAGAATAAACATATTTATCTCAATTAATTTCATCAATAAATTATTTCGAATTGTTTAATCCTATAGAATCATATCAATATTTATTATTATCATTATTATCAATAAGATGTCGTCGTCCACATAATATAAATCGATATTTAAATATAATAGAAAATCAATGAAAATATTTTATATTAAAATGAGCATCAATGGAAATATTTATTCGATATTTAATAAATATATTTTTTAATTTATTAAATAAACGTCCGAACAAATCCATAAGTTTAATCAATAAATAATAAGAGAATTTATTTAAAACAAATTGAAAAACGTTCTTCATATACGTTGTTTATATGAGTGGATTGGAACTTTATTGTACCGTTCTGAGGAAAAAAATGCACGAGAAAAAATTTTCGATTTGGAAGCTGTTAACTAGTGTTTTTAGCTGTACTATATGAGAAGAGAAAAAAAATAAATTTTCCCGACTACCACTTTAAGTATGGCTCTTATATAGGAAAATGATTGAAAAACGTATGAAAAATGGTTTAATGCTAGTATATAGCTCTTATTTTAAACAAATTACTTAAATACAGGAGTTTTACAGAATGCTTTGAAAATACCTCAGTTTATATATAGAAACGACTTTACTAAAATCATTCGAATATGATTGAGAGTCTAATTGAATAAAGCTAGATGATACAACTCCGATAATGTGTTATTTGTTATATATAATCACTGAATCTTTGTGTGTCAAATCTGAGAAATAAACTAGAAGGTACTTGCACGAGTTTTGATAATTATTTAAACAGAAAATCAAGTACTTGTAATGTATTTACATTAGCGTTAGTTATGAGGCAGTTATATACATAAAAATCTTAACTGATAGTTTCCCAAAAAATCTTGTGTGACATATTTATACTATTTTTTTCTTTTTTATATCAAAGACACATTTTTTAATCGTGATATTTTCAACAATGTTTCACCACAACTAGTAGATAAAATGATAAAAATTTCAGCTCAATCTGCCTTAATTTACAAGAGTTAACACGATAAATAAAGTATAAAATCTCGTATGACATTTAGTGTGAGAACTAGATTTTCAATATTTATTTCGTATTCCTTTATTAACAAGAATAAGTTAAAGCTTACCATCGTCTTTCGTGCTTTTATTCCCCGTTGATAAGCTTTCATTCGAAACCTATCCGACAAATTTTAAATGTTCTATTATACAGTAAAGGCGTTTGTTAAATCTCGTGTGACATCATATTGAGCATTGATGGTACATGTCATATTCAGAAATAAATCTGATATAAACTCTGATGAAAGTATCAATCAGTCTCATATCCGTGATGTATACACTGTCTACTATAAATATCACCAACTGTTTAAATTCAAATGGCCAGGAAATCAATCAGATATGGGTCATTTTCTATCAATAGATGGGAACAAAAGTCAATCTTTTTAACCTTGTGTATAGAGTATCTCAGGATGGACTAGTGAGAAATTCGTGATTTTTTATGTGGTAGTGAGCATTAACTACAGAAGCATAAACGGAAATTTTCATAAAGATTGGCCAATAGGAACTGGAGTTATTAAAGTTTTACATTTGGGATTATAAACGGTACAATAAAGTTGCAATTCACTGATATATATAATTGATTAGCATTAAATCAACCACAAATATCTATCTATTTAATTATTTATTCTTATATATAATTATTATCATATTTATTTTATAAATAAAAATCCATTAAATCGTTCTATGCAACCAAATATTCAACGTTTTATATCAAAATTATCAAGAGCAAATGATTTAAATCAACAACGATACAACAGATAAACAATTTCATTGATTAATATTATCGCCACAAATTTATACAACTGAACAACAATAATAACAAATCGAATTGTTGTCGATGAAAATCCTATGTTAGAATATGCACTTTGATTAACTATATCAGAAAATCTTGATCAAATTTCACTACCACTACCATCAGTACCATCATCAACAATAGAAAATTATCTTGAAATAAATCAAATGATCGAATTTATGGTTAATACAGATTATATTTATCAACAATCAACAAATATACTAAATGAGATCATTGTCATAATTATAGTTTATATCAAGGTGATCATGATCATCTATCAGAATCAAGTTCAACAACAAATCAACCCTAGTCAACAAAATAATAATAATAATATAAGATCAACACGATCATAAAATGATTGAAATTGAAGAATAAAATAAAATATAAATGAATAAATTTATTCTAGTATATATCAACAACTTTTATATGATTTAAAAAGATTTAATTATTGAAAAATTTTTAGATTATCTTTATCAATATTTATTAAATAATAGAGAATTAAATCGTTTTAATTCAATAGCTTATTTACAATTATTATTATTAACATTAAAAATCCGATCATGATAATCAACAATTTATTCATTATATATTTAAAACGTTTATTAAGACAAATGACATTTTTAAACATACATCACAATATGAAATAGAATTTATCTTATTAAGATTATTTACTCTTTATATTTCATTTATGCTTAAAGTACATAATAATCAACGTCAACAATATTTACATTTATCATTAACACTAGATAAACAATTAGATCAATCAAATATTGTTAATTATTGTTTAGAAATATTTATTAAATCAACAAATGATTTTATCACCAACTGGTAGAACAACAACATCAACAACTAATTGATAAAGATCATCTATATAAATAATGACACTTTTTAAACCAGTTAATCAACAATCATTAACAGATTTATCAACATTTTTTATAAATAATATACAAAACATCATGGAAATGATATTTTTCAAGCATATCCACAATTATTAGCAGAAATTCCTTCTTCTTAATAGATAAAGGACGACTAGAAATTTTAACCTCAGAAAACATGATGTGTTGTAGAAAAAGACTTCTTCTCTTTAATCGTATATCTTTTATGTAATTCAATTGTCAACCATTAAGAGAAACTCATAGGACAGGTGTCTTGCAGATAACCTTTTTCTTCTTCTACACTAGTTCTGCATATACATGAACAGAATAATCTTCTTCTAGAATGTAGGACCTGAAGAATAGTATTGGAGTCCTACAGGCCGAAAGTGTGAGGGTTCTTTGCCGTGTGGAACGCATAGCAGGACGAAGAAAACCGTTCTGTGACGTTCTCTGGTATTTTCGTACATTAATATTTGGATTTCGTGTTCGTTTCTACTAAATGACGGATAGAGACGTGATGTCCTGCCATTCTAGTGGCGACACTAGAACAGTAGCATACCTCTTGTTTTCAGAGGCAGTGAAAGGTGACTCCTTCAATAGCTCCGTCGTGTAATCAAAAATACACGATGTCAATAGAGTATCACCGCTCTCCACTATCCTTACCAGACTAAGAAAAAAGTTACTGTTCTAGTTACAACATTAGCTACTCTACTGGTGATTTGTATTCTGAGGAATATGACACATGTATTGGATGCATCACCTTCCACTCCTCCTTCGAAAACAAGAGAGGCGCTGCCGCTATACTATTCTTATTATTTTTCAAACACTTTTATATTAGTTTCATTTTCATATCTAACTTGAGAAATCCTCAAGTTGTCAGTTTCTTATAATTGGTCTATTAAATAAATATATTCAGTCTCAAAGGGATCGATTTCAACTGAAAAAAGTCGATTTTACTCTGTCACAGTATACTGTGTCAGGCGATGCCACACTTTTCCTATTGATTAAGTCTCTTTTATCTAAACGTTTTTTTTTTTGGTATCATCTTTAATAAATAATCAAACTTGAAACCTAACCGACAATAGTCAATGTGGTTGGTACAGGGAGCTTAAGGGCACTTACGATAACGCGAAGCCGTTATGTCTAAAAAAAAAAAGTTAAGTAAAAGAGACGCGGTTAACCGAGGATTTTCCATCAGGTTGAACGACATGAGCAGTATATAATTCGTCGACTTGTACAAGAAGTCTCAACGACTGAATGCAAGAACTCTGGATCAGGACTGGCGTCTCGTTGAGAGCTGCAGCTGTTATCAATCGTAGGGAAGATATCACTAAGCAGCACCCTCATATCATAATATAGGGATATTCTTCCTTTGATATCGAGATCTACACTGACTGTCTTAGGTAGAGAATATCTTATAAGATGATTTGTAGATAGATTGGAAAAAGAATCAATTTGATATTTTTTGTTTTTATTCTCATAGATGAAGAAAGTACTCGATTATAGATCTGAATGACGTCCATTTTTACTTAGATCTGATTGGAAAAAATGTTAATGTGAATATAATGTATTAGCTCAAGGTTCATTTCTTAAACGTAAAATTCGTAAATTAGATGATTTTCATGTATTATCAACAAATATAAATGAAATAATAAATATTTATGAAGAAAATTTTGTTATTAAACAATAATCAACAACGTAAAACAAAATGAAGAGAAATTGTTTATGTAACATAAATGCGTCTTGTTGATAATTTAAAATCATGTCAATATATAACTAATCAACCTTGTTAAAATTGAGAAAAATTTTGTTAAAAATAGCTCAACAATATCAGATTTTCTTGTTGAATTAATAATGCTTGTTGATTATTGATTAGTACGATTTATTCTTCGTTTATTAATTAATTCAATATCATTATCATCAACAACAACATCAAATCGAATATAAAAAACGCGTAAATCTGTTCGTCGAAATGATTTTGATTCAATTGATTATACATAAATATGTTCTACTGCATTAGAATTTTCTAAAATAATATCAAATAACATTATTAGAACGATTTTATTCATTTGTAAACAATTATAAGATAATTTATTTAATGTTATGGTCAACAATATAATATTATAGTTTAAAATCATATCAATATATTCATTTATTTATTTAAAATAAACGATGATTAACGTAGAAATGAATTTTAACCTAACATTAGAATTAATCTTAAAAAGATAAAATCATTTATTATTAAATCATCGAAATGAATAAATTTATCGTCGTGTTATCAAGAATAATTCATATTGAATAAAATAATGTTTATTATTTGTTAAAGATAAGCATGTTTACTTTCTAATTATCCTCATATACAATATCAACATTCTTTTATTAATTCAACCATATTCAATAGAACAAATTAGATATTGAAATATCGGAAATAATATCTAATAAACCTCTACATACAAAACATTTTTATTATAATAATCTTAATCTAGAATTAATAGTCTTTATTATAAATCGTTATTAGTTAAAACAATTAAATTAATAAATATAGATCAAAGAGAACGTTAAAATTGATTTAATTATACCAATTATTGTTTTGTTATTTAATAATTGAATATGTTGATTTGTTTTTAAACACCAACAGTTACAGATAGAACAAGATTAGAATGTCCAATATGGACATTCACCTCTTCTACCAACACCTGACATT